AAGAGCAGGATTGGGAGGAGCCAAGAGTTTCCCAGGCTGGAAGAATTTCCTGGTTCTACCCACTCCCTCCTGGCGGGACCTTGCCAATATAAAAGGGCCCGGGGCCTTTCAAATGCGAGACCCAGGTGTTTGCAAGGCCTTTGATTGGGGGTGGAGAGGAAGGGCCACTGCATATTTCGGATATTAATAAATTTCCCCTAACAAAGGACCAGGGCCCCCTCCTGCCCCACCTTTGTTTGGGGCTCTAGGTAGGGGAAGAGAGATGGGTTTGCTAATTTGCAGAGGATGCAGGAATGGACTTCACAATTCAGGGTGCTTCTTCCCACACCACGGGCACAGGCTCCAGCCTTGCTCACAGAGCCCTGGGTGCCCAGCCTTCTCAGAGCCACCTCTGGCCTGGGAGGAGGCGCTCTTTGGGCCTGCGCTAGGACAGAGCCCAGGCCAGGGATCTGGCCTGGTGAGGACCCCTCACCCAGCCTCATGGCTGCAGCTGGGTGTCCTGAAAATCAGGAATGGAAGATCCTAGGAGTCTACGCCTCTCTCCCCCCAGATTCTGAGTCTCCACTCCGATAGGAGGCTTCTAGGCGTCTACAGACCACCAGCCTCAGCTCCCCTGCCTTGTTTCCTCCTGCCTCCGCTTCCCCTGCTCGCCGCCCTGCGGTTCCCGGACTGCCCGCCCTGGCCCAGTCTTCCAGTCTGTCCGGCTTTTCCCATTTCCCATTTCCGCTGTTCCCGACAGTCTTCCTTGCCACACCACACTACTCCTCCTGCTGCCTGCGCCATCTCCCGGCTACTTCCGTCCTGGGCCCCATATTGATGCCAGATCTCCCTGCTCATGCCAGACTGCAGTGGGAGCGGACTGGGGACCAGGGACCTGCAGCTGGAGGAATCCCTAACAGAGATGTCAGTCCTGTCTGGAGTAGAACCCCGGGCTGGAATCCTAGAATGTCTTAGTGGGTGCCAAACCCAAGCATCTACAGGGCCGGGCAGGGACCCGGGGCGAGCAAAGCTGTCGGTGTGAGTGGGAGAGTAAGTGGCAACTGAGCCTTTGTGAGTGCTGGAGGGCCTAGAGGAAATGGCGGGGACTGTGGTGAGCTGGGGGAGGGAGCCTCTCTTAAGGGGTGTGACCCCTCAGAAGTGTGGGCCCATGTTGCCAGATATCCTGACTCTTTAAGAGAATTTTTATGAGACATTTCCCATTTTTAAATGTGGACAACTCATTCAGAAGACGTAAAACATCATGGCTCAGTTAGGGCCTCCTGTCTGTCTGTCTGTGCAGGCCAACTGCTCAGCAGACATAGGGGCTTAGCAGTCAGAGAGGTAGGGCTTGCCTAGGGTTCCACGATGTGATTGTGCTAGAGCTGAAGCCAGGCCCAGAGCTCCCCACCCCCTCTCAGGGCTCTGCTTCCTGTCTCAGCTTATTTCTGTGTCTATGGACCCCTGACCCTGGGAGGCTGGTTGGGTTTCTGAGAGACAGGGTATGTGCCTGGCTGGGGTGTGGTGGAGGGGTGCCCTGGGGCCCTCCATTCCTGTTCTGGGACCTACCAGAAAAGGTGTTCTCTTGGGCGATGCTGGGAGGCACGGAGACGGTGTCCTGGACCATCTGCAGTGACTTCCAGCCTACGATCAATGAGAGCAAATGGGGGTAGGGGTGGAGCAGAGGAGAGACTCCTGGCTACACTATCGGGGCCAGCCATATTCCCAAGGTCAAGTGAGGGTCAACAGACAACTTGGGGGGTCACACAGGTTACCTTGGTGCTTGGTCCTCATTAAGCCCTGCCGCTTCTGTTCCCCTCCACCACCCCAGCCAAGTTCATCTCTGCCTGGTTCCCTGAGCAGGTCCAGGCTCTCTGACCCGGTGTCTTCCCCATCCACTCGTTGGAATCCTGCCCGTCCTTTTAGGGTCCACCTCCATACACTCTCCAGCCCCCACAGGTGTGGACTCCTAGGGTCTTCAGGGGGCTGACTCAGCCCTACATCTGCTGAGCTGTGAGCGCAGGGCACTCACGGTCTTCTCAAACAGCCCACTTCCTTCCCATGCAGTTAAGACCCTTATACCACACTCCTTGGACCCCAGAGTGCTTGGGGCAGCAGCAGGCACCATGGGCGGGGCGGGGCGGCACTGCTCAGCCTCACAGACCTGGGTTCATTCCCAGCTCTGCCCCTGCTGGCTGTGTGGCCTTGGAGACCCACAGTGCCAGTTCACAGCTTTGCAGGATGCAGCATCAATCTGAAAGCAGTTTGTTGGTGGCTCTGAGGACAGCCAGCGAAGGGTTAAGAGTCCCAGCCCCTCCAAATTCCACGTGACCCTCCCTGTCTGCTTCTGCGGTGGACACTGCTCTCCCGACTCATTTTTTGCTGGTGGCTCATGGAAAGTTTGGCTCCTTGAACTCCAGACCACTCCCTCTGGGGCCCGAGGCTTCGCTGACGCAGGTCCTGCCCTGGAAGGGCGTCCAGGGCCGCCTCCCGCCTAGGAGCACCCCTGCTCTCTCTCCACCCGCCTCACTTCCTGCTGCCTGACCTTCTCCTCCAGGACGGAGCAGCCCGCTCTCTCTGGCCACACGGAGGCCGCCTCCCAGTACCCCCATCCAGGACCATTTTTTATTGGGAGGGGAATAAAGCCTTTTCCCACTAAAGTCCACGGCACCTGTGAGCTGCATCCCTGGAGTGTGGTAGCGGGTAGGAGCCCAGGTCATCTGCTGGTCAGAGCCTAATCTCTGCTCCATTGCTCACTGGCTGTATGAGCAGCTGAATCTACTTCCCCTCTCTGAACCCAGGTGTCCTCCGATGTAAAAGGGGAAGAATAACTCTCCCCTGGCAGGGGATTAAATGAAATAATATAGCTGCTTGATGCATATTTTAAAAAAAATGATCAGAGTTCTTAGCATAAAACGTGGTGGCAGGTAGAAATTCTCCAGGTGGGACGGTTCTCATGAGCCTGCTGTCCCTTGTACAGATAAAGAAACGGACCCAGCTCCTGCTTCCAACCAAGCTAGGGAGAAGGAGGGTGGTGTGCTTGGAGCCAGAGACAGCCCAGGGCAGAGGCCTAGGGCTTGCTGGCACCTTCCAGCTTCATGGCAAGGTGCCTTGGAGGCTAGACCAGCGTCCTCGTCAGTAAGATGAATGGGTTGGGAAGGAACCTTGTGCCTTGGGGAAGAGCTGTGGGCAGAGGGAGCCCTGTGTCCCCACCTGCCCAATGAAGCCTTTTCTTGGGGACCATGCCATGGAGAGCGTCACGGGGGCACCGCCTCTTTGGAGCCATGTTCAGGGATTATCTCCTCTTGCTGGATGGAGTTCATGAGTAGGAGCCAGGGTGGTTTCTCCAGTGAGCTGGGATGCCCTGCCAAACCAGTAGGAGGTGGGGGAGAGGGGAAGGGGACAGGAATGAAATCCTCTGGACCTCAAGCCTTTCTCTGACCTTGACTCTGCTGACCCAGGGTCAGCGTCTTAGAGTTTTGGGGCTTGGGGTGCGGGAGTCCGGGGCAGGGGAGGGGCCAATGGTCAATATTGATCTAGCTGAGTCAGGGGAGCAGGATGGGGAAGCGGGAAGCCTGGGGTGGGGCCTGCTGATAACTGGATCCTCTAGCTCCCAGCGTGACTGTGGGAACCAGGGAAGGGGGGTGCTCGAATTCCCAAACTGGGTCCTTTCTAAAACTACGGCTGCCTGGAGCCCTGCCCAGCCCTAATGTTTCCTATTCCCTGAGGGTGCAGCCTGAAACATCTGTATTTTTAGCAAACTCCCTGGGTGATTCTGAGCAGCCGGCCCAGTTCCCGTATTTGGGGACCACAGGTTCACCCCTGTTGTAATATGAGGAAACTGAGGTCAAGAGAGGGAAAGTAACTCACCCAAGGTCACAATGGGCAAGAAAGATGATAATCCTCCACCCCTTTTTTTGAGGGGGAAGGGATAGTCCACTTGTAGATAACTCCATCTACCCCCGCTGTGGCCCAGGGCCCTGGAAGGGATGCCTGCCCAGAGGGAAGTGGCCTCTGAGACCTTGGCAGGCCCAGGTGGAGAAGGAAGGTGGGGCTTATCCTAGGAGGAAGGACGAGGAGAGGGGGCCATTCCCACAGGTCTGGACCTGCCCCACCTTGCCCTATTCAAACACTCCCTGCACCTGCTGGAGGATGTTCCGTAGAAGACTTACTATGGCCTGGGTCTGGGGAAAGCCATTGGCATTGCTGGGACCTCACATGTATCCTGGAAAAGCATGCCCCCAGCACGGTAGATTCGGGGCACTCTCTGGCTTCCAACACTTCTGGCCTCTTCTCCCCCAGCCCCACCTGACCCACTGTTCTGGGCTCTCAGCCCAGCTCTGGCATGCACTCTCCTCCCACACCTCAACCCGTTGAGCATCCACACAAATCCTCCCCAGAACTCCCAGTTGCTGCCACGCCCTTCCTGCCGCTTCTTCTGGCTCCAGGGCAACCTTTGCACCTTCAGGTGCAGCCCTCACCCTAGCCTGCCCTGAGTGCTGGTTCTCACCCTCTGGGGTGGCATCAGGGATTCCTGGAGACAAGCGACAGGATAGCTCATCTCTGAGTCCTCCACGGAGCCCAGCTGGCTGCAGCATCCCCTAGCAGGTGTTCCGAGTGGTTACAATTCTGAATCTCACTTCCTTCCCTGGGGCATTTTGGGCAGGTGCCTTCACTTTCTGCACCACAGTCTCCTTGTTCATGGAATGACAAGAATAGTAGTGCCCAGCAGAGGGGTGAACTGATGGTCACAAGAGCGCATAGAAAGGAGGTTGGGTGTGCCTGGCACACCATGTTAAATGCTCACCATTGTTATTGCAGAGGTGGGTGGGATGCTCCTACCCCTGCAGCGTCCACTTCTCTTCACTCCAGCAGCACACATTTGTCAGGGGTCTGCTCGGGGCAAGGATGATGGTAGCTGCTGCGTGCATCCTGAGCATGGACAAAATGCTCACCGCCTTCAAAGAGCACACGGTTTGGCAGACACTTGCTCAGGTGACTTCAAATCAGTGAGGTGGGTAGGGGGGTTCTGGAGCCCATAGAGGGACCTAACACAGTACGTGCTGGGAGAAAGGGGGGCTTCCCGGAGAAGGTACTGAAGCGGTGTCCTAAAGGGTGCGGAGGCGTTGCTATGCACTGAACAAGGAGTAAGAGGGAAGCCAGCCCTCTGCAGTGAGTTTTGGGGTAAATGGGCACTGAGGTGAAGACTGCAGGTGGAGACTAGAGACGAGGCAGCAGCTGGAAGGGACAGGGTTCCTGAGAATCACAGCCACTGTTTGCTGGCCCTCCAGAGACAGGGAAACCCACACTGGGGCCCTGGAGCACCTAGAGGGAACAGAGCTCTGCGTGTGCAAGTCCTGGCTCTTTGTCGTGCAAGAAGCCTCTTTGCCTTTGAGTCTCATTTTCTTCATCTTCAGAACAGGGCTGTTGTAACTGGGACAAGAATTGTGAAAGCACTTTGTGAACGACAAACAATCATGCTCCTGTGAGATAATAATAGTGCTTTAAGTGGAGCCGGCACTTTTGAGGTCCACTGGGAGCTCCCAGAGCTTACTTAGTGGGCTCACAGAACCCCGAGCCTCCATGACCTGCTCCTGCCCTGCCACCTGCTGGCAAATGTCTGCAATGGCAGCCCAAGTCTCAAGTCCTTCCTCCTGCCCAGGCGGGAGATCCCAGGACACATGAAGGCTGAGGTCCAAGCAGTTCTGGTGCTGACATGCCAGGCTCCAGGGCAAGAGTGCAAGTGGAAGCCCTAAGTCCCTCTGAGACCCATCCCCTTGCCCTTTTCAGCAAGGGCCTCACATGTGCAAGGGGCACAACCCCACAGACATGCCCCCTGGCCGCCTCCCATGCCAGCAGCCAGGATAGACCAGGAGAGAGAGCGGCTGGTGTGGGAATTCTGGAGCATGGTCTGGACAGGACCTTAGGCTTCAGAAGACACAGCCCCCAGCGCTGTGAAATCAGTCCTCTTTGGTGAGGGGATGGCTTACAATGAGCAACTCATCTGGTTAGCCTGGGACTGCTGGTTTCACACTGGAAATTACATGTCAGCAAACAGGATGGGTGGCCAGTCACCCTGTCGTGGCCTGAGGGGGCCGAAGCCTCTGCATCACCACCCTGGCTCAGCCTGAGCAGCTTGGGCTCAGGGAACCAAAGCAGCCTCTAATGCGGCAGTGGCCTCCCTTCCCCCGTGGAGCCTCTCACGCCGTCCCTCTCTCCAGCCCCAAGGCCCCCGCCCCAGGCACTCTGTCGCAGACAGTCTGTGGGAAGAGGCCCTTCCCTCAACCCCTCTACAGGGGCTCTGAATCCTGGGGGCTTGTCTGTGAGACTGGGTGGAGGAAACAGAACGGGTGGGGAGGGACTTTTGGAAAAACCGCCTCACTGTACAAGGAAACCGAGGCCTGGAGGAGAAGAGCCTTGTCCCTGGCCACTGAGGGAGACTCCGCTGTTGGCTGTTGGTGGCAACCCATGTCCACCCCTTGCTCTAGTAAGGGCACCTCGTGCGCCTGAGAGGCAGCCAGCCCCATCCCTGGCTCTGAGGCTGGGGCACGCGGTCCGAGCATAATCCCACACTGATTGGCTCAGCCTTGAGCATGTGACCAAGTGGGTCCAATCAGAATGAAGACCTGGGCTTTTATTTCGCAACTGGAGAGATCTAGAACAGGAAATACTCTCCCAGGGCCCTGCTTGACCGAGACAGGGAGACAGTGAGGGCACAGAAGTTTGTAGCTATTTATTGCACTGAAAACACCAAGAATAAAACAGACACCCCTTCTTCCCACCCCCAAGCCCACAATAGCAGAAAGTTTGAGCAGTGGTCATTCAAGTTCACAGCCACAGATTTTTTAAAAAAAGAAAAGAGAGAATTGAAACAAACCCCCAAACAAATAGTAACAAAGAAACCAGCACGGGGAGTCTGGCAAATACATCCCCTAAGGGGTCTCCCCTTGAAGGGAGACAGGAGGCCAGGGGTCAGGGTCAGCGCTCGCTGGGCGCACGTCCGGGAGAATGCTTTCCCGTTAACGCGTTTGCATGCTGGAGCCTGGGACTTGTCTTAGGGCTGGATTTTTTGCATCTATAGGATGTCTGACTGTCTGGTGGGGGGTCGGCTCTGGGCCACTTTGTCTGCCAGTCTCCCCTGCCGGCTGCCTCAGGATCACGCTGGTGCCCTGGCGTCTACACCAGCTGACTGCCCACCCACAGGTGTGGCCTTTGCAGTGGGGCCATCTTGGCCTGGAGTAGGGACTGGCCTCTCCTTCTCTGGTACCCAGAGAGGGGCACAGTGGACAGGAAGTGTGTCAGCAGGTAAAAGGCAGGACTTTGGTGTCCTCTAGCTCAGCTTCCTCTGGTGGGGAACCGAGGGCCAGAGCAAGGAAAGGACCTGCCCAAAGTCACAGAGTGAGTCTGATCAGAGATGCGAATGGAATCCTAATAACCCCCAAACCATGGCTCTTTCCCCCACAGTCCACTGCGAATCAGCAGCGGACAGGCACCAAAGAGGGGGATGAGGGGTGGGCGGGGGAGGGCAGGGGGACTGGACAGGCCCAGAGAGGAATGGAAGACCAGCCAGTGACTCACCCTGTTGGTTCTCATGGGCGTACTGGGCTTCACCTCACCATCTTATTTGATCCCCACCCCAGCACCCCTGCAACATAGGCTGGGCGGGAACATTTAACCCTTTGAACGGAGGGGAGGGGAAACTGAGGCTGAAGAAGGACCAGACTTTGCCTTGGTAATAGCAGCAGCCCCTCACCTTTGGCTTGGGGATGGCTGTGGGAGCTGGCAGCTCACAAGGGAGGCAGGTGGTTTTGCTGCTGGGATGCTGGGATCACTGGGCCTTACTGGGAAGCCCTCTGGACCTGGGGCAGGTCAAGTGCCCACCCTGGGCCTCGGCAGTAGGGTCTCTGCCAAGGGTGGAGGCCAGTGATCGACCAGTTTGGAGACCAGGAGGGCTGGGCAGCCTCTCTCCTGGCCTGTAGCCCCCGCCCAGCCTGCCTCACCTGTACCGGGGGCAGCAGCCCTTGCCGACAGAATGAGCCCAGCAGACAGCTTGTGATCGGGAAAAACTCAGAAAGTCCTGGGTCAAACACCCACATCAGTCCTGCTCCACTCAACACCCAGGATTCCCCAGGGGTTTGGGGGAACCAGAGCCTCCTCCAAATCCCTGGGGATGTGGCTCTTCCTCCCCTAAAATCCTCCAAGAGGGGACAGTATCTCATGCTGGCAAAACACGGCCACACAGAGGCCAAAAGCACAGAGAGGCAGCAACATAATTCCGAGTCGGACACTGAGAATACAACCTCTTTTTTTTTTTGTCCAAAACATGTAGATTGATTTTGCTGAGTGTTTTTTCCTCTTTTCTTTTTTTTTTCAACATACTTACTGCATATAAAGTCATGCAAAGAAAACAGTGCAGACAGTAGATCCTAGTGGACGTGCCAAGGCATTCCACATCAGAGTCAATTCCCAAGGGAAGAGGGAAAGAGAAAGGAAAAGAAAGATATGAACCCACGACTGCAGGAGGAGGTGTGAAGAGTAGAAATTGCAGCGCTCTTTTTGGACCCGCATGAAGACACATGCTCGTGAACCCCTCAGAGGTGGGTGGGTGGGGGGCGCCAGGGGTGGTACACAGATGTGGTGGGAGGAAATCCTGGGAAGCATGGTAGTAAGGACCCCGGTTTGGGAGGCAAGCAAGGAAAAGCCTAGACACTGCCATCCTGACAACCTCCCCTACTCTCTCTGCCCTGATTTGCTGTTTCTTCGTCAGCACTACCATGTGATGCTTCTCCAGTCCTGAAGGGAAACTTGGGTCTGAAATGTCAGAGAGATCCTTTCCCCGGGGCTGAGTCCACCTCCGCCCCAGATAACCACAAGTGACAAAGTCCATCTCAGAGATGACCAAAAAAAAAAAGGAAAGAAAGAAAGAAAGAAAAAAACAAAAAGACCTTGAACAGAAAAAACTACCCCTCAACCTCTTCCCACTTTCCTTCCCAACCCAACCATTCTCACAATAATCTGAGAGGTCTAGTTATTACATAAATATCCATTAACGTGAAATCCATTTACGAAACACACAGAAGTTTGGCTATAAAAAGGCATGCGGTCCAAGTAGAAGTGATACCTAAACGTTGTTTTCTTTTGCCCCCAAAAAGCAATCAGATTCTCTCCTCGGATGTGACGAAGCTGGAATTCCCCGGGCCTGATGGAAGGGTGGAAGGGGCGGTTAGTGCTGGAGGGGACATCAGCAGAAGGAGGAAAGAAATGGGGGCACCCTGAGAGGATCGCGCCCCCCCACACTGAGGGAGGAGGGTCAGCTGCAGACCAGGAGGGCAGGACAGGATGGGAGAAGAGCTAGGAAGGCAGTTTGAGGCAGGAGGCTCCTGGCGTCTGCTCCTCTCTCGCCCTCTCCCACAGGGGAGGTTGGCTCTGGGAGTTGGGGCTTCATCTGCCCTTCCCTGGGAGGCCTCGGAAGAGGAGAGATCAGGGAGACGGCCAGGCAGATGCCACATTCCTCCTGACTGCGCCCCTCCTCCCCAGCCCCTGAGGGAACACACAGCTGGGCGCTCGGGCCTACAGCCAAGGCAAGACCAGGCCAACGGCAGCTGGGAGGGGGGTCCAGGGGCTGGCACCCCGGGCACCTGGGCCTGAGGAAGCCCCTCCCTGGCCGAGGACAGAGAGCGAGAGTGACAGGTGGGGATGGGGAGATGTGGCCATTTGCTCTGAAGTCGTGATAGCTTTTGCAAACAGGCAGGTTTTCTTGACACAGGTATGAAGGTGACAGTGATGGCAGCGGGATGGTGTGATTGAGGGAATTCCAGCAAAATCCAAGTGGAAGAACCAGCAGCCACATTCCACGGACAAAGAGTGGATCTCTGCGGTACGGTGCCCCCAGCCTGGTCCTTCAGCTGTAAGACATGGTATGTGCAGTGGTGATGTGGTGCTTCCTTGAGCAACCACCCTCCCGCACCTCCTTAGAGGGAGTTCACGCTGCCTTCTATGGGTCCCACCTACCTCATGCACCGCCCCCCGCCCCTGCTCCCAGACCTGCAGGCCTGATCTCCCCACTGTGGTCCTCCCACCCCCACCTCACAGCCATCCAGCAGCCAGGTTCCCCAAGGTGTACCACCTCCAGACTGACACCACCCCATTCTTTTAGATGGTCCTAAATGACAGGTGGCAGGAAGGAGGGGCTCTTACTGGGGCAGGACGGAGGGCGCCCCAGATCTGTGGAAGTGGACAATCTGCCATTTGCCATCTCGGCGGTGCCACACGCGGGTCTCCTCCGACTGCGCAGTGCGAGGGATGCCGCCTGCATCCAGGTACTGCGTGATGCGGATGTAGGCGATGCAGGCTGACTCGTCGCCCATCAGGTGGATGTGGGGGTTCAGGATGGTGGTGTGCACAGGCTTGCTGTTCCGGGACCACACTGGAGGCGGGGATGGGAGGGGGCAGAGGAGTTGCACCCAGGGGGCCTCCTGACTCTCATTTCCTTCACTTCCCCAGCTCCCAGCAGCCCCCTCAGCACAGGCACCTCTGCCTGCCTCATTTCCAGAAGAGGGGGTCTCTGTGACAGGGCTCAGCTACCTGGGAGTCAAGGCAGAACCTGTAGTTGACTAGAGCATATCCCAGCTTAGCTACAGTGGACTGCAAGACAAGCTGAATTCTTCAAACACAGGGAAATGGAATTTTAGAATCACAGCATCTCACCACACACACAGATGAACGTAGAATCAGATGAACTTAGACCAGAGTCTCAACCCAGATCCCTACAGAGGCCTGGTGAGTACATAAGCAAGGGAGCTGAGCTGGGTCTAAGATGCTAAATGACAACTGACCTTTTGTCTCTGGGTCAGGGAGCAATAGGGAGTGGTGGAGACAGGGCACCACGTCCCTTCTACAGAGGTGCCCTGTGCGCAGCTTCCCTGGTATTTGCTATGTGAATAAGTGGGACCCATGTTGCCACACTTTCTGATTTTTCAAGAGAATCCAGAAATCTGGATTTTTACATGTAAATGCCTCATTTTAAATTATTAGCCTCTAGTTCAAATTTAAAGCATCATGTAGACCACACGAAACATACATGTAGTCCCGATGTGGCTTGTGGGCCCCTCATTTGCCACCTCTGTTCTCAACGTATAGCATTATGGAAACTTGGAGAATATTAAAATGGTAGAATCTTAGAAGCTTGGAATTATAAGGATGGTGCTGGCGGTCATGGGGTGAGGTCATGGAGCTTTCCAGAGGGGAAATGCTTGGCTCTTGTAACCACGAGAGAACCGACAAAAGGAATGGAAGCCAGCTCTCTCTACGTGAAACAGGAGCTGTTATTACTGTCATCATCATCATCACCTTGGTTCTAGGAACTCTCAATTTCTTCAGCAAGATAAAAACCAAAAGCATAGAAAGACAACAGCCTAGGGAGGGGCTGGACAGGGGTCACCAGGGTCTTGGGCTTCAGAGGAACCCTCGTGCCTCCCTTTAGAGTAGCCCAAATGTAGGTCTGAACCCCATGGAGAGCTGACATTAAATATAGACTGCCCAGCCCCACCCTTGGTGAAGCCAGTTCAAGAATCTATAATATTAAAAAGCTCCCTCCCCTTTCTCATCCTCTGGTTCTGATGCCCAGCCAAGTCTGTAAGCCAATGATTTCCTGAAAAACGTAAAATTGTTATTTTTTTTTTTTGGACTACAGAAAGCACCCAATAATATCCACTCCAAAATATTACAGTCAACTATGCGTAGGCCTTGGATAAATGACTCAAAATCACTTAGCCTTGAATACGTTGACTAACAGACTTTTACAATTCTGGTCTCTTGGACAGAGAGAGTGCAGAGCTTTTGCTTTATAGGCTTGGGAGTGACCTCAGAGGTCACCCAGGGGCCCTCCCACAGAGTGCAAGGAGGCCTCCATAAGCATCCTTGACAGCATCCAGGGCTGGAGGCACTCAACACCGTCTGGTTCACTGTATCCCTGAGCAGACCTGGAAACTGAGGTCCAGAGAAGCAATCAGACTTATCCAAAGCTGGGCCAGTTTCTGAAAGAAATGCAGTAGAACCTAAAAGAAGTCAGTCTCCAGGTGGGACTGAATTAGGACAATCTAGAACAATCCCAAAAGGGACAAACAGAACTTAGCACTGTTGAGGGCACTGGGCCTTGCTACTGTCAGCAAGAGCTGGGGTCCTGAGAGATGGCCACCCTCATGTGGTAACTTTTGAACAGACTGTAGGCTTCCCACATCCACCTTCGTGGCTAGGGTGGGAGAAGGGGTCCTCCAGCTGGAAAAAGCTGACAGGAGGGTGGGACTTGGCTGAGGGCATGCAGTTACGCTGGGTCTTGCTCTCGTGGGTCCTGTGATGTGACTAGACGTCCAAGCCCAGAGTGCAGGGGGCCGGTGCTATGATGGGCTTGCTGCCTGAATACAGGCCACGGGCTGGCACGGCCTCCCCTGTTTTTCCCCTTTTGCCATCCCGGAGCCTTTAGAGCCAGCTCTGTTTGGTCTCTGCTCTGTGGGGATTGCGTTCACTCTGGGGAACCAGCGCCCCCTAGAGGACAGGCCAGTATAGAGATGGCCACCATGATCAGCTAGGGAGCTCCAGGGTGATGGGGACAGTGGGGCCAGCCACCTCTCTTCACATTCAACCTGCATTGCTAGCCTTAGAAAATCAGAGTTTGATTTGTCAAAGGAAAATGCCACTTCCTTCTTCACAGCTATTTTGGGGGTGCTCTTGAGCCCTTATACTAAGATGCAGTCAGACCGCGTGTAGGCAGGAGAGGGGTATCCAGTTAGGGGACGTTAATGCCCAGGTGAGAGGGGAGCAAGGGAAAGAAGGGGGCACTGGAGGGAGTCAGGATGGGGTTCTACCACCCGCTTTCTGGGTTCCTTTGGACAAGTCACTTCCCCTCTCTGGACCTCAGTTTCCCCTTCTGTATGGTAGAGTTGGACTAGGTCCAACATCAGTCGCTTAAGTACCACCTGTATTTTTACCATCTACGAGTGCCACCTGTACTTACTTCCTGAACCTATTTCCTTAAATCAATTCACTTCATTAATTTATAAAAATTTATTTTAAAAGAAAAATTCCTACCACAATCATTAATGAACAACCAGTCCCACAGAATACAATTTTAATAGTAAGTCCAGCGAAAATGAAATCAAGTTATGTAATCCGAGCTCCATGCTTTCGCCTGCAAGGGATCTGAGCCTGAGACTGCTCTCTTTTTGGTAACAAGGTGAATTATAAAGCACTAGATGTTTAAGACAGACTAGCACCAAACTGAGCCTTTCCTCTTGAAGGAGCCAGATGTATTGAGGAGAATTTAGAAAGGCACCAACTTTCTCACTGTGTGAACCAGTGCTTTTTCCATTGGTGTCCCAAAGCACCAGAAATCACCTAGTGTAGCCTCAGTGATACGTGCCTTCCCTCTGGAGGACCCTGGACCACCGCCAGGGCCTTCCTATGGGTCCTGAGCTGCGTGAGTCTAACCTGCATGTGCTTTGGTTTGTCCTTATCTGACCCCTGGCCAAGGTGAGATGCGGACACAGGCAGAAAGTGCCCTAGGTCAGGCGCAGCCTCAGCCCCCGGACAGCCCCTGGTTGCAAAGCTGCCAAGGTCTCTCCTGCAAAGGAGAAACCCGGGAAGGACAGACATGCGGACAGAGACCTAGACAAACAGGCAGGGCACAGCAGTGTGAGCTTGGTCCTCTCTTCCCCAGACTGCCCACCCACACGCCAGTTTGTAACCAGCTGGGCAGCTGGGGTGGCCACAGGCATTAAGGTGACTGTAACTTGGGGGTGCACCCTGGTGGGAAGGCTCCCTGATCTGTGGAGTGGGAGTAAAGGCCTCCCCCAGGCCCTCCCAGGGTCATCGGCAGGAGAGGGCTGGGAGAGCTTGTCACACTTATCCCAGGTCCCCATCCTCAGCCACAGCAGGGACAGGCGGACGGGCCAGAGTTAGGAGAGGGAACCAAGATGGTACCAACCCCTGTCCACATGGGCTCTTCCTCTTCGCTGGTTCCTGAGCCGCCCCGGGGGGCCCTGCCTGTCACCCTGCTGTGCCATCCGGCAGGACACGAACAAGAGCAGACAACAGGCAGCCCAGAGGGAAGGGATTGCTCACGGTTTTCAAAATAGAATCGATGGAAGTCCAGGCCCTCGACCAGGTTCCCCAGGGCCTCGGGTTCGAAGGCTGTCATCCCGGGGTCACACATCTTCCTGGAGGGAGGAAGTCAGAGGAGAGAGGGGCTGGGATGGCCTCTCGGAGCCCCCCTCCTCCAATTCCAGGGGCCTGGACCCCAGGAGGCTGCGCCTGTGAAATTAGAGTGACTGCACCCACCTCACAGGGTCACTGAGGTTGGCGGATGGGAAAGGGCTTGTACAGTGACCGTATGGGGCACAGCGGACTGGCCAGTGCCATTCAGAACTGGGAAGCCTGGGGCCAGGTCGTGGCCCTGCCACTTACAGGTTATGAGACCCTCAACAAGTGGCTTAACCTCTCTAAGCAACAGCAACGTGAATGTCGTGCAGTTGTGCACTGCACTAGGGCACCAACGGGGATAATTCAGCCTGTACACCACTCCCGAAATTGCATCCCCTGCTCAGGACAGCAGATCCATCCAGAGGGAGCTTTTCCTAATTTGCCTTCCTAGGGCAGAGACACCTTTTCCTTCACTTTAAAGTAACTTCTGTTCACCAAGCAGGTGTGTCCCTGGAAGGAACAGCATTTTGCTACGTTAAACAAAGGCGCCCTATTGTTGGCAGCAGCCTTCCTATCGTTCCTTCTTCTGTAAGATGAGGAAAACATCACTCCAAGAAGTAGTGCCTGGGAGGAAGGAGCCCAGGGCCTGGCCGAGGAGGCCCTCTGCCGTGTATTTTCAGCTCAGTGCTCCTTCCCAGGTCTGTTTTCTGGGAGGCCCTGACAGCCAGACTAAGGCAGGAAAAAACTGTCTCCTCCACCCCCAGGTCTCTGGGATTGTTGTGGCCCAACATGGATCCCTGTGATGACAACAGTGAAGCCACGGACAGGAAGTCCCCCAAGATAAGCAAAGATCCGGACTTGGGAGGGACTGAAGATACTGGAGGAGAGTGCCAGGCCCAGCATCATCTAAGCCGGACTCCGTGGTGAGTGCAGGGCGCTCCGTCCTTGCTCTGTGCTGTCTGGTCTTTGTGACTCCAAACAACTTGCTTCTCTACTCAGGACCTCAGTTTCTCCAGATGGATTAGCTAGGGGTCGGGGGGTTGTGCTCAGACCACATGGGATGCTTGGGGCTCTTCCAGCTCCAGAATCATCCAAAGCTGGGGGTCTTAGTCCTGATCGTCTGGGAGACTAAGCACCCCCAACCACTTCCCCAGCGGAACCCCTCTCCAGGAAGTCTCTGGGCTTCCCAGCCTCTGAAGGGACTCAGAGACCGTCTGCTCCAACTCCGTACCACATGCTGGGAAGCAGAGGCTTAGCAGGGCCAGACTCAGGGTACCACAGGCCCCAGAGGTCAGGGCAAAAGGTCAGAACCTAGAGTAAGCTGCAGGTGCCAGAGGAAGTGACATCACAGAGGCGGGAGGCTTGGGGTCCAGAGGAGCCATCTCTCATCCCTCCCGCCTTGTCTGTGTCCTCCAGACCCACTTTCCGGATCTCCCATGGCTGACTTAACTCTTTCTAGGGCTGAATGCAAGACCCGTTCAACAACGCATTTCCATGTTTTTATGCAACCCCCAGGAGCACACGTGCACACACACCCACGCACACCCCTTGTGCACATAGTCACAAACGTGCACGTGTGGCCAAGTGCATCACACTTACATGTACATGCGGCCTCGGTCTCACACCTGCACCTTCCAAAGTCCTTGTTCCTCCAGAGATAATCCGATTGCTGGGGCTTTGCCACCCGCTGCTGCTGAGACCCTCCCACAGTTAGAATGCACCTGGCCTGCCAAGCCTCTGGGAGACAAATTTTAGCTCCTGGGCATAATGGAAACCAGGAACAGGAAGCCCAAAGAGCAAAGCCTGGCCAGGTTAGTCCCACTTTATCTGATCCCAATAGGCCCTTAGTTGGCAGCTTTTGTCCGCCAGAAAGTACATGTTGGGTCTCCAGGCCCAGGCCTTGCCAGCTCTGGCCAAGACGATGAGGCCTCAGCCCAGAATCCTAGCGAGATCACCCTGGGGCCAGCTGAGGGCCTGTTTGGAGCAGCTGAGGGCCGGTTTGGGGCCAGACCAGCAAGGGTGATGGTGACCACCAGGGGGAGCTCCAGCCAAGCCTTTGCATACAGCCGCCCCTCCAAGGCTGGTCCAGGTGTGTAGGGATGTCTCATGCCACCTGTTTCATTTTATGTTATTTTTGTGCGCTCTGCCTTATCCTCCAGAGGATGTAAGGTTACTTTTAGGGGTTCTTTTGCTCACCCCTGCTCACTGGAGGTCACACCCTATGGATTCCTGCCCACTCCTGCCCATGTGAGGTCAGAGAACTGAAGAGGTCCAGGGTGAGGACTCAGGCCCATGAGGCAGGACTGAGGAGGGGCCTGCCTCCCTCCTGCCCAGCTCATCTCCTGAGGAGGCTCATGCTTGGGGAAGCAAAAGTGTTTTGTCGGCATTCCTCCTGGGGAACAAGATAGGAGAAGGAGGAGGAGCAGGACTGAGATATAAAGTGGTGTGAGCTGAAAGCTTAATAAAAGCATAAAGTCTGAATGCAAACCAGAAATATGAGTTCAGCCTGATTCACAGCACATGCAGAGTGAGTGAATGAGGGTCAGAGATGAGGACCCCCAAATTAGCCATCAGTGACCCCTGATCAACAATCCAGGCAGGACATGCAGAATGGGCCCAGCCGACTCACGTGTAGGACTCAAAATCTCCATTGCTTATGGCTTCAATCAGCTGCTCTGTCACTTTTATAATTTCCTGTTTCCGCACTGTAAGGCAGGAGGGGACACAGAGAAATAACAGTGACAGTGATGGAGCACCACCCACCATTTCCTGAGTCCTCATCGTGCACCAGTCCCTGTCCTGGGACCTGAGGGCTGCATACAGTTTGTCTCCTTTATCCTCACACTGTTCCTGGGCATCATTACTCCCATTTCATGGAAGAAGAAATGAGGCCCAGAAAGGTGAAACGGTGCGCAAGTGCCCTCAACCACAAAGGGCAGAGCCAGTGCCGCAGTTGGCGCCTCTGCCTCCCAACAGCATGCATGCTGGACATTCTGACTCTAGGCTGATTTGAACTCAGGTCTTGACTCCGAAACATGCTTCCCCATCACCTTGCTTGGCCACCTGAATCCCAGCAAGGTCACCTGTGGTCATTGTCACCAACAGCCACAAACCAGGGACTCCCCCATTGCCCAAACTGGGGCCACTAAGGAAGGGCTTGGGACTTACTCATCCCTTAGGTCTGGGTGAGTTTTTGCGCTATTTGGGTGCCTGTAGGAATCAGGCACTGAGCTTTCCAGAACTTCCTAGGCATAATGAATCCCAGTTGCTAAGCCCTGGCCTCCCCCGTCTGCCACTGCCACACCACAAACAGCTGCTGTCTTTCTGGCACAGGATTAGACATATTTTCTTTTTCTTTAAACCCTTATAATTTAGGCGGTTGTGGGGGGAGGTAATCAGGTTTATTTATTTTAATGGAGGTACTGGGGGTTGAACCCAGGACCTCATGCAAGCCAAGCATGCCCTGTACCCTCCCCTGTCAGCTTTCATATTAGGTGAATGATGTTCTGAGCCCCAGTTTTCCCATCCGTATAATGGGGACACCATCACCTCTCATACATTCAATGCCAAACATGCTAGGAATAGAACCCAGACTTCAGTACCAGACAGGGTTTTATCTAAACCCCAGCCCAGGTCCTCATGAGCTGTGCAACTGTGGGCCACAAGGTTGTCTCCTAGTTCATCAGATGGAGATAACAGTGCCCTTCTCCCAGGTTTGTCATTAGTGTGGCATGAGATGTGCCTAGCACGTAGTAGGTCCACATTGTAAGTGCCATTTCCTGCATCCTCCCACACGCGTTACTGCATCTGCTCCCCACAGACACCCTGGGAGTGGGGAGCAGGCAAGGCCAATTTCCCCTGCTCTGACACATGAGGAGATTCAGCCTCAGCGATGAGGGAATTTGAAGCCAAGTGTCCCGACCCCAGTGGGACCGTCCTATCAGAAGCCTCACGTGGTTTCCCAGGGGCAGGCCCTCCTCCCCTGCTCCCCCAGGCTCAAGCTTATCCTCAAACCTGGTCAGCTAGCTGGTGCGCTGGAGCAGCCTCAGGTGAGGTAGGTGGACATAGGTGACACATTGTCCATCTCAGGCTGGAAGCGTGGGAGGGCGACCACCCCTGGTGGAGGCCCAGTCCCCACCCTTTCCTCACCAATGACCAGTGCCCGCCTGTCTCACCTCACACCAGGGAGCTCACCCCAGGCCCAGAGGACACAGAATCACAGGACACTCAGGCTGCAAGAACCCTTGGAGACCAGGGACTCAGACTCCTTATCAAACTACTGGAGAAACAAAAGCCTGGTAAGGGCTATGACTTGCCCAAGGACACATAACATTTTGAGTGCAGTGTGTGGCTCCAGCCCAAGGCCTTTTCAACAGGACCCAGGAGATCCAACACGCTCCCTGTCATGTTGGGCCTCTGTCCTTGTCTATTTCCCAGCTCAAATACGAGCTCCGTGGAGGCTCACTGATCCCTGGAGCCTGCAGCAGGCCTGGCCCCACAGGCATTTGTTACTGAGTGTGTACGCTCGGTGCTGGGTGCTCAACCTGCAAATCTTACAGCCTCTCGGCACAATCTCATGTGATTTTTCACCTCGGAGTCAGAGGTGAACTCCAGTCACACTGGAGGCAACAAGTTAAAGAGTCTGCTCCAGTGGACCACCCCTCCCCAGCAGACCATGCAGCTCCCAAGCCCATCCCCCTCTCCCCCACACCACCTGCCCCTCAGGGCAGGGCCCCGTGCCCTGCATAGCTCTTGGCACACAGCTCTTGGCACACGGTGGGTGCTCGGTAGACGTAACGTCATCGAAGTTACCATTTTCAAAGCCAGTCACTGCAGTGAGCCACCAATTCTTTATCTCCTGGCTCCGCTAAGAATCACCAGGGCTGGGAATGAGTCTGTCTTAGACCATGAGCTCTGCCGGGTCGGTCTGGGGCCTTGCCTGGGGCAGGGACATAGGCGGCATGAATGAATGAACAAGAGATGGACCAGATCAGGGTCTGGCGCTGCTGCTTTGCCCTGTTCCCTGGAACTGCCCAAGTTGCCCGGTGGCCTCTGTCCCTAGGAGCCCAACAGCCTGACCTCCTGGTCACCTCTGCCCTCCTTCATAGATGCTAGAGACTGAGGATGGGGAGAAACCCACCTCCACCAGGAGACACCTCATTCCAGCCTCTCCAACACAGAATCAGGGTGACGACCCAGTGCGAATCCCCGTGCTTCTGGCAGGCTATGGGGCCCGTGCCCCTCCCTTGCCTGCTCTGCACAACGTTAGGAGCCCTTCCAGCTTGACATTCCACGAGCCTGTGCTTAATGTCCTGTCTCCTGTGGGCTGCTTCTCTCTGCCACCTCAGAGGGGCTGGCAAAGTGGTGAAGGGCATGGATTCTAGAGCCAGATCCCGAGTTTGGATCCGGGTTCTGCTATTTAATAACTGCGTGCCCTGGGGCAAGGTACTGCCCGGGACCTCAGTTTCCCATATGTATAATGGAGCTACTAATAGTACTTACCTCATAGAGTGGTTCTGAGGATGGAGTTAAGAATAAATCAATAAAAATAACTAACACACATATGGTCCTTACTCAGAACGAGCTACTGTTCCAAGCCCTTTATATCAACTCATTTCTGTAAATAATGATGCATTATGTAAAGCTTGAGAGCAGCGCCTGGTACCCCCGAAGTTAGAACTCTGCTTGTTATCACTGGAAGGCTCTGAATTGGAAGTTTTCCCCGAGGACATCCTCTACCCTCTGGCCCAGGCAGGGACACTTCCCAGCAGCCTGATACGTGACGGTTCAGTCTTGGCTGGAACCTTGGGGCTTGCAGCCTGCTGGACAGCTTACGCCATTTGCACTCACCTCCTTCTTTCAAGTTGAAATCTCCCCCTAAAAGCCCCTGGTGATAGTTCTGGTCCCCTTTCTGCCTTCTAGGGCCCTGCAGCATGCACCTGCTCCCCCAGGCTCTATGCTGTCCCTGCTACCAGTCTTTTCTTCTCAGGGCTGAAGGCCTCCAGGATGTGGTTTGCAGGATCTGACTCAGGCTGGCCATCTACTCTTCAGGGGTACTTGAGCTGTTTAGCTGCTTCTGTGAGTGTGAGCACACAATCCCTAGTGAGACTTGAATATTGCAGAATATCAGATCTAGGGTAGCACTTTATGCCCTCCTCAGTTCTGGGCACAATACCACTATTAATGCAGCCTGAGACAGTGCCTAAGTTGGCCTCCAGCCACTCAGGACACCAAGTTTGCCAACAGTCAAAGCCTAGTGGCCAGGAATCTCCCTAGCTTCATTCCCTGGGACCAAAGATCTGGGGTTGTGGTGCTCCTTAGAGCTGGAGAAATTCATTCTGGTTCTGAGCCCCTCCCCTGCCCTCAGCAGTCCCATTGCTATACGAAAGATTCATTCAGCAGCTGCTCAGTAACAACTTCTGGCATTTCTCACGTACCAAGTGTTCACCCAACCAAGAGTGCTCCCCTATCGATGGGAAAGCTGAAGCCCCAGAGAGGTTAAGACACTCTCTCTAGGTCACACACCATGCCAAAGCTGAAATGGGATCAGCATTCCTAACTAATACTTCTCAGAATGTCTCTGCCCAGATTCTGAGACAACACTTTGGGTCGGAGAGGAAATTAAACTTTCAAGGGGCTGACTAGGCGGAGGTAGGGCAGTGGGGAGGAGGCCTGGTAGAGCCCTGTGCCATTCAGAAGGTGAGAGGCCTGTGTATTAAGCCTAAGGTGTTCTGAAATATTAATGTCCCTTTCTTTGCTCAGGGGAAAATGTTCCCTGGAGGATGACATTTCTAATTAACTTTAATGTTAGGTCAGAATCCACCAGCCAGCTGCTATTCTCACTTAGTAAGAAGACTTAACGAATTAACACCAGAAAATAGTTCTCTGGAAACTCTCTCTGAGGCCTGGAGAAGCTAAGGGAGGCACAGGGCTCCTCTCTCCTGCCAAAAACGGGGTAGAAGCTCCTGGCTGAGCCAGCATCTTTCATCAGACAAGACATTTTACATGTGGGGAAACTGAGGCAGGAAACGGGGACCCAGTTCTGCCATTAATAACCTGGATGTGCCCTTTCTCTTTTCTGGGCCTCAGATTCATCTCTTTTAAAAGGGGCACATGTGAATTAAAATTCAGCACTCCACATGGTCCCATTCTGATGTCTCTAAAGCAGAGGGTAATGTCAGACCTCAGGGATGCAACCCAGAGCCATTACCCCAGGGGCAAAATGTCTTTAATGGGTCACATTCCACGTTAATAGTGCATACAAATTTTACATTCTATTACAAATATTTCTCTGTCTGTTTAACATATAAATATTTGTCTTAAAATCATTCTGAGTAAAACTGATGCTCCAACAAAATGTCATGTGGCTTCCTGTCATTCAACCATAAGATCCAGTTTGGGGGAAAAAAAAAGAAATTAAGATTTATTCAGCAATGACCATGTGCCAAACACTGTGTAAGCACTATATATGCAGCCTCTCATTCGATCTGCACAACAATCCTCTGAGATTGATACTATTATCATCATGTCTTTACTGTCAATGAAACTGAGGCTCAGAGAAGTTGAGTGAGTTGTCTAAGGTTGCCCAGCAAATGGACTCCAGGGAAGAAGCACAGAGCCAGTTTGTCTCCACAGTCCCTGTCTGTTCTTCTTTTTTTTAACAAACCCTTGTGTCGAGGGCTGACTTTCAATAGATCGCAGCGAGGGAGCTGCTCTGCTATTTACGAAACCCTGACTCAGAAGCAGGTTATCTACGAATGGTTTAGCACCAGGTTCCCCACAAACGTGCGGTGCGCGATGGGCAAGAGGGCGGCCGCCTTTCTGGCCGCGCCCCGTGTCCCAGAATGAAGGCCTCTCTGCACCGGACCCTGGTCCCCACACGCGGCCGGGCATGCTGCGCCGCGCGGGCACGCGGGCGAGGGCCCTACGGCGGGGACGGATGGAGACCGGCTTTCTGAGGCCAACCGAGGCTCTCGTGGCGCTGCCGTATCGTTCAGCCTGGGCGGGATTCTGACTTAGAGGCGTTCAGTCATAATCCCACAGATGGTAGCTAGTCCCTGTCTGTTCTGAGACTAGAATGATGGGGTCACAACGAGTCTCCTCAAAATTCCAGCACCTAACTCTTACCATTGGGACAGCATGCCTCAAATATGGGGAATGTTTCAACCCACTTGAAACCTGTGGAATTGGAATCCACAGGGGCAGGCTAAGAATGCAGTTAGAAAGTCATACTCAAAATGCTGACCTGATCCCAAGGGAAGTCTTCACGATAATGTGTTTTTAAAGGTTGTCCCTAGTGCCATTATAGAAGCTTGATTTGCTCTAGCATCAGGCTGTGGTGATGAAGTGACTGTCTCCAGCCACCCTCGTCCCCCTCCATCCGGGAATGACCAGAGAGGGACACCCACAGGGTGGGGCTGGGCTTCCAAACATCCCGACAGAGTTAGGAGGCAGTCATGGCGTTTGGTGTGTTAAAACTGCCTTAAATAAGCCTAAATGGCAATTGTGCAAAAATATTACATAATAAAATGTTCTTTCCCACGTCATTGAAAGCCTTTAGAGGCAAATCATCTAAACACCTGGACATCTCTAAACTGGCACAGCTGTGATCTCTCCAGGTCAACGCTGTTTTTCTACACTTCAGAGGCTCCCCAGGTGTCTCTGACACACACCCCAGTGTGAAACTCCCACCCTCGCCGGTCCCTGTCCCGGGGGAACAAGGAGAGCTGGGTATAGAAAGAGCAGCAGGACGTCACTAACACATCCAAGGACTTGGTGTCCCATGGGCAGAAGTCGACGCTCCCTCCTCCCTCCTCCAAGCTCCAAGCATACTTTCCACATACCCCAGCCACCCTAGTCAAGGTTGTGAGCCCGGCCCTGGAGCCACGCTGCCTGGATTCATATCCTAACCCTACCCTACAGGAGCTCTGGGACCTTAGGCCAGCTTACCCAACCCTCAGTTTCTGGGCTGTAGAATGGGGTTGATCACAGTCCCTACCTCCTAGGTTTGTTGTGAAGCTCAGGTGAATGTAAAGCACTTGAAAGCAGGTCTAGCACACAGTGAGGGCCCCATGAAAGGCAGCCATTACTCCTAGTACCATCCTGGTATTTCCTCTCCTGCTATCAGACCATGGTTATCTGGGGTTTTGCTCCCTTTCGTCTGAGGGCTTGTGAAAACTGTTAGCCACTGGCCACAGCAACCCCAGCACTCGGAGTTGCTCTGGGGCAGTATTTCCCATGTTCCAGTTGGCTGAACTTTCTGAATTTTTGCTTTCCCTTCCTTTACTATGATTCCTTCAAGTTTTTTAAATCAATTCATTTTTTAAAAATTCAGGAACACTTCAAAAGGAAAATTTATACTGCTCTGATACATCTACGACTTGACTGTGTTAAATTAATGTTTTCTGATACATGTTAAATTAAACACATAACCCCTACAAGAAGGAAAGTCCATCTGGGACCGCTGGTGGGCCAGGTCCCTCGTGTGGGCAAAGGCCCCGCAGTGCACCCAGTCTATAAGGAGCCGAAGTGTGGCTCTTTGTAGAGAAACAGGACACAAGGTTGGCCTTGGGGCCCTTTCAGGCCAGGGGCTGTCCATGAAGGGGGCCTGCCAGGAGGCCCAGGGGCTGAAGGCCAGGCCCCTCCTACCTTTGGTGTCTTCATCCTCAATGGTCGTGTTGGTGCTCTCGGAAGATTCCTGCCAAAGAGAACACAGGAGGTGGTGAGGCCCACCTGACCAGCAGGAAGAGGTGTGGTCAGTTGGGGGCTGCCCCGGCGGCCTGATGCTGCGGCCCGGTGTCTGTAAATCTCATCGGCTCTGCCATCCAGATGCTGTACTGAAAACCCTATCAGACTTCAAGCCTAAAGAAGGGCCCCTGCTAAGCTGGTGGCTGGTGGGGGTGGG